TGGTGGATTAACATGATACACTGGGTTACTTAACAAATTTACGGTAACAACTGATTGGAAACATTGTCCACAAGAGGATTTTGTTTCACCTTTAAGAATTCGTTTCACAGAAAGTTTGTTACTCACCTCCTTGGTTCATAGTGCCCATTAACCCTACTAGTAACCCTGTTACTCTGAGCCAGAGTTAAAAATAAAACTCATACTTTTCTCCAGTAGGGTGTCTCCCTGACTCCAGGGGGATGCCGGGATGCAGGGGTATGTTAATGGGCCTTCACATGGCAGAAAGGGCGGGGTAGCTCTCTTGGGCCTCTTTAATAAAGGCACTAATCACCTCCCAAAGGCCCTACCTCCAAATGCCATCTCATTGTGGATTAGGTTTCAACCTATGAATTTGGAGGGAACACAAATATACAGTCTATAGAGGAAAAAAAAAGGCACCGGACAGTTCACAAAATCATTGCCGGTGCTGGAGAACCGAGGTAGAAGCCAAGGAAAGCCGAGGTCATCCCACAGAAACAACCTGTTTAGGATGCCACCTCCGGGTTGTTGCCAACTGACACCCGGCACCAGCAGCTGGGCCTGGGCACTGGCTGCCACAGCCTGAACTTGCATCTCTGCTACAGCTGCTCAGAAGCACCTCTGTCCCCCGTCCTTTGCAACATGCCATCAGGCTCAAAACTCCAGGACCAGACAGTGGTTGGGTCCAGGTGTGTGCCCATGCTACAGCAGCCAGGAAGCTGGGGGAGGAAGCCCACGCCCCTTCAGCTTTTGTAGGGGGCGGTGGAGACCTACCCCCCACTGAGCTTAGCATCCCACAAAACTGGTTGGTAAGCTGTCCACTCCAGCACCCCGTTAGTGAAGGAAGAAACAGGGAGACGGAATGTGTAAAATCACAAGGTCGGTCTAAACACATTGTTAGGGAGATCCCTAGTAGAGATTATATTTGATTGGAGGCCGGAAAATGCTTCGTGAAAGTGGCATTTGAGAAAAACTTGATGGATCAGATCTTTACTAGTAGAAATAAACGGAAAGGGGGTTTCAGGCCATGCAACTTAACCTGAGGACTAACATAACCAACTTCAACCTGAATGTCAAGGAGATGGAAACATCATATCTTCCATTAAATTCTTATTCTGCTTAAGTGGGCCACAGTTTATTTCTGTTACTTGCAGGGAGGAATACAGACCGGGTACACCTTCACATTAAAACACCATCCCCCCCAAACCCCACCGCAGAAAGTACGGATTTTATCTTTAGTTCTGGCTGTTTGATTCTTACATAGACGTTCCGCCCAGAGGTGGCAGCAACCTGTAAACTGAAATGTGTGCCCACTGACTCAACATTCACTCAGAGGCCAACGTGTTCCAGGTTCTGAGATCAAGTGGACAAAATTAGCAAGTTCGAGGGGCCTTTGGGGTGGGCTGAGTAAGGCCCCCGCCCCACCAGGAGGCCTTCTCCTCTGGAGCCTGTGAATTGTCACCTTACATGGCACAAGGGACTGTACACACACGATTAAATTAAGGACCTTGAGATGGGGAGATAATCCTGGACTACCTGGGGCAGGGAGGCCGTCTAGTCACGTAGGAGAAAAGCGTGTGGATGGATGCAGGGAAAGCAAGCAGGACGGGACAACTGTGGCGCCACGTGGAGGTTCTGAGCTACCTAAGCTGTGACCGTTAACTCATTGCCACAGAAAATCAAGACGAAAGCTAGCTAGAAATACAAAGGCGAATAAATGAAGCCGACTAGAAATAAAACAATAAATAGTAATATTTATGGAGCTCTCACAAGGCACCTTACCTGTGACACGTAAAAATGTTGAAATGTCACATAAACTGCACATGTGTGCAAAAAGTTTTTTTAAAAGGTCTTTTCTTTCTCTAACTGATCTCATTCTATTATCCCTCAGCAGAGGGTGGGAAAGTGCTGAACTTGCCAGTGAAATGCACTGGCCTTTTCCCACTCACTCGATCTCCTGAGTGCTCCCTCCGATCAAAGTCCAAACTCAAGGCTGCTT